GAGTAATAACCCATCATGAAGGTAAGTGGGCTTCTAGGATTTTGCCAAGGATGAGAGCAACAGTCCATGTGTACAGACCTGCGGTTTCCCAAGCATCCTTTGGCCATAGGCAGCAGCTCACGCACGAGTCTGGTCAGGGAGCCTGTTGGAAAGTCGCTCTTTAGTGTCTTGTAAGTTTTGGACATCCCTCCTCGAGGTTTTGATTTTGCAGGCTACTCGAACCGGGCGGAAGCTGTGGACTAGTGTTCCTGCATTGCCAAGCAGATTTCAATCCAGCGCATCTCGTCGTATGCCTGGCGCTGGCAGCCTTTCAAGAGCCTGCAACAGTCGCAGCACAGTTAGCGCTGAGCGGAAACGCCGAGAAGTCGAAAACCTGTCTCTTCTGGGTCCACAAGACCTCACAAGGGACCACGTCGAAACCAGAATCAAAGCTCCAGTGCTCGTTGATGAACCGCAGGCAGGCACGGTAGAGGGGAGCGATGCTCCAAAAGACATACTCATTACTCACTATAAGGGTTCAGGGTTTATAAGGGTTTAGGGTTTAGGGGTTTAAGGGTTTAGGGGTTTAGGGTTATACTGTAACCAACGCCAACATGCGCCTCGTCATGAGAGTGTGCCTCGACGTGGAATGCTTTCCACTTGCATACAGACCCCCGGATCCGCGCGCACCCGACTGCGGAGCATTAACGACACAGGAATGCTTTTCTCCAAGCGAAACTCGACCGGCAGAGAGACATCAAAAGCTTTCTGGGCACCGTGAGCCGTATATACTCCCGGAGATCTGGTAGTTTCACAGTCTGGAGCTGATGCACTAGAAGTCCCTGTTTCCGACTAGCTTGCATCACTCAGAGTCATGCTGTGCATGATGGGAGGGCTTGGACTCTCTGTTTCCGAGTCTACCACCCTATAGAAGCCCTAAGCCCGACACTCTAACCCTAAAAAGGGATCAAAGAAGCATCCGCACAGTTCGTTCCAAACTGCAGTTTCCCCAAAGACCCAGGTCCCCTAAACCCGAAACCTGAACCTTCTACAAATCAATTTCGATTTCTGAAATCCTTCAGATCGCCCAATACCCCGTAAGGAATAATCAACAACCTTAAGGCATAGGGGCCTGGCCATTATTATAGTTTGAGCTATGTTCCGGTGTAACCGGGCTCCTTTTTCGGCCCTTGGCCACAACATGTTCGATCATGGCCAGCGCCTGCTCAGCGAAGCTGTCGCCAGAAAGCAACCTGGCAAGAACGCCTGGATGTTGTAGTAGTAGAGTGTATAGTACTACATAGTCGAGTAATGTAGCGGTGTGTACCAGGTACATCGTGTATAGCATGTACCAGGTGGTATATACGAAATAGTTTACAACACGTAGTAAATCATGTCGTGTGTAATGTGTATACATATATATATATATACATACACATGTGTACATTGTAGGGTCTATACTAAAGTACGTAGTAGTATATAATGTGGTGTATATTGTGCATGGTGTATAGTACATAGATGCATGCTAGTATGTAGTAGACTACAGTATCATTTCCGCCATATAGGCATTAGAGCATCAGGGAGTTGTTTGTTTTGTTTCTTTGGGCTTGGCCTTTAGACTGCTTAAGGGGATTATCATTCTTGGCATTAACTGCTGTTATGGTTCGGATTGAGGGACCTCAATCAACCCCAGGCACAGGCTCCGAGCAGACGTCGCTGGATGATCGGAGAGAGGATGCGGAGCTCCAGGCTGCTCTCCGGCAGGCTCGGAGAGTTTTCGTAGCAGAATTTTGCAACCCTTGTAGGGCTTAGGGTTTATGTAGGGTTTAGGCTTTATGTAGGGTTTAGGGTTTATAGGGTTTGGGCAATTGGAAGCTACGGCAAACCCAGTCACTGATCGAGTTGGATATGGCTTCTCCACGGGCAACGAGCCTGACGCTCCTCGTGGGTTATCGACTCTCTTCGAACATGTGTCAGGCATTCGACAAGGCTGAGTCTGTTTTGCCTGTCAGCGTTGAGATCCTGGTCACAGCTTAGCAGCTTCATGCGTTGACTTCACAACGTGGCTTCAGAGGCCTCGCAAAGTGGAGCCTTCCCCTGGAGCCACAAAGCACGAAATTGGGAGAGCTGCGGCAGCGCTTGATCATGATCAAGCTTCTCCGACCATGTATCCGGACATCGTTCCCCCTGAGCAGACCGAAGAGCGTTTCCTCACTCCTCGATCAGTCCGTTAGGTCGGGTCATCGTGGGGTAGTAGTGACTGAACAGCTCCTCGTGCTCTGTGGCATTGGCTAGATCTCGCCCAAGATCAGGAGCCTTCTCGATCAGTACTACCAAACGCGCTTCTTTTCATTGAGTGGGCATAGGAATTTCCATGCACGTGAGAGCATTCTTTATCGGGAAAGGACGAAAGCTTCAGCAGGAGGCTCGTGGACAGTGGACATATCTCAGAGGGGTCCAGTCCCTAGTCCCTTTGTTTCCACATCGCGTGAAAGCCGATCTGACGTTTGCGTCTCCACATTTGAAGTTTTCTTCGCGCCTTTTGCCAACCTGCGTAGCACATGTATCCGCTGTTCGACATGAATGTCGGCTGGTATAGATGCTCCTCGGAGAGGATCCGGCTGCTGTCACAGCGGAGCAACACCTGCATCCCTGGCCCCGTTTGTTCGACATCGGCCCCAGGCTCGAACCCTAAGCTCCTTTTAGGGGTTTAGGACTTAGGGTTTTAGGGGTTAGGGTTTAGGCTGAGAAATCGCTGTCGCAGTAGCATCGCTTGGGGGCTGTAGACGTTTGATCCTCATCGCACTTGCTCTCGGCGTCAAGCGATCATGAAGGCTCCAGGTTACTTGTAGCTATTTCGCAGCCTCCCGACCCAGAACTGCAGCAAGCAGTCCGGTCCAACCATCACAGTCGACCAATCCTCCAGTGTTCTCCAGCCCACTGTCGTCTGCCACAACCCTCGCTTCGCACCTCCTGCTTTGCTGAACAATCCCAGTCATGTGCTTTACCGACTAGCGCTTGTGAAAGCCCCTATAGCAGTCCAATCAGCAAGTTAGGGATAGGGGCCAGGGGGGCTGGCTGCGGTGCTGCCGCTTGCTCTCTACAAAGTTGATCAAAGCAGACAACGCCTTCTCCGTGACAATGAGAGATATTCGCAAACACCGCTTACACCAACTCGGCGAGCCAGGAAGGTGCCTCGTTCATGCACCAGCAGCCGATCCGTGGGCAATCGCCAACGCTGCTGCACTGTCGCATCACGGAGCGCGGCATCCAAACTTTGAGCAGCTGTGAAGGTAAGTTGCGCTTCAGCTAGCAGTCGCCAGTGTCACAGTTCCCGACTCCTAGCTGATTGAACACCCGCAAGAATCACCCCCCATCCTGTGTGCGACCCTCCACCATCCGGCGCCTAGCTCGCGTCCCCAGCATCGCCCACAACAAACAGAAACTAACTGCTGACAGTCGGCTTCAGCAGCCCGAGGGCCTTATCTTACACTGGAACTTAGCCACAGCAGCTTCCCGACGGCTTGACCTGCCGCACGAACGTCACTGTCATCAAAACTTTGGACCCCCTCGGTACAATGAAGTTCGTTAGGTCCGTCGAAACTGTAGCAGGTGACGTCGTTTTTCTGACACCTGATGCAGACGTTGAAGTTCCCTGTAGGAGGTCTTGGGGGAGATCATAGAGCGCAGCTGCAAGCTCCTTCATGATTTCAGTCAGCCCGCAGAGGAGCATGATGTATGACAAGCAACCCTTTGAGCGTGGAGACGTCTTGCATCACCAGCCACCTGGGCCAGTTTCAAGTCACGGTAGCATCCCCAGCCTTACGCACAAGCATCCTGTGGGCTGCGAGTCGCCATGCTCCCGCAGATCGCAAGGTGCGGGATTTCCGCTTGAAGAACTCCTTCGGAGTCACACCCGGGAGCTCAGCGCCAGGTGGTTTAAACCAGCGAAGCATTCCGCAAAGGAAGCTCGATCGTGTTTCACGGAGGCTTGGGAAGGTTCTCACGATTCATTCACTTAACCTCAATTCCAAATTTCAAATCAACGGGTCCCACCGTAACAGGCTAAGAATAAATCTCATCGGATAACAACAAAACGAACTGACCGCCTGGCTGAGCACTACAAAGCTCTCCACGACCTGTGGCCAGATCTTCTCGAACTGGAGGATCATCTGCCAGCAACGTGTCCACCACATGTTCTAGCGACCCAAGTTTCCTGTGTGATCCATTGAATCCACTTCTCCACGCTCCGCGGAGCCACGCTTATGCACCACTGACAGTGAGCCCACCAGGCTGCCCAAGAGTTAGGCGTATACCCCACCTGCGCCGGCCTGATGCGGCCATAATCGCCTCCTGCAGAGTCCAGCTGCACCCAGCCAGCACGAAATGTCCCAACCGTCCGGTGATGGAGACCCCACATCCAGCACGGACGCCGAAGCCATAGACAAGGAACTTGAAGACGCCGTTCCTCGTTTTGAGATCCACGAGTCGCATCAGAAAAGATAATCCCCAGCAGACGTTGGTATCACCTCGGGCCACCCTCTGCCTCTGCCAGCTCTATCTCCCTCGAAATGATAGGACGTCGATGTAGATCTCTGGCGAAAGCTCCTCGGACAGTGGTAGAGGAAACAACAGACCCCCACAAACCTTTCCCGGTCAGCTCGATCTTCACTTCCGCGTTTGCCGGGTGTCTAGCCGATCGCAGCAGTGTGGGAGAGCACACTGCCAGTTGTATTTTTTGCCAGAACCCTAAGACTCCAAGTATACAAATATTACCCACTTTGGGCTCTAAAGTCTTTAAATGGTACCTACTTTGGGCTATTTGGAGCCTTAGGGGAAGAGAGCACAGCAGTTCTGTTGGTGCGGTTATTGTGCAGATGACCCAAGATCCCAAGTGCTAGTGCGTATGTTGCCAGGCTGCGGTGACTTCTGTGGCAGCTGAGGGGTATGAAGCTTGAAAGTGAGTTGGCCACGCGCAGCCATCTTGGTTCAGGGCGCAGCTACCTGGCTACCGTTTTGCCATGGAGCGAAGGCATCGTCAGAATGCACAGAACATCGCGGAGATGGAATGCAAGGCGTTTGCATTTCTCATCGGGCCGATGTTGGCCTTCGCTGCCTTGAATCTGGTCGACTTTGTGACCGACATTTTGGTCTTACTGAAGCTCAGCTGCGTTACCAACTCGAGCATCAGGCAGGAGTGCGAATACTCCAACTTCACATGTAAAGACGGGCTTTGCTCTTATGCAAATGTCACTTACACAGCCGGCCAGAGTGAAGACAAGTGCGTCGCACACGCAGCGTGGAGTGGTTTTGGCTGTGAAGCTTTGGAGAGCAGTAAGCTTTATAGTTAGAATTTTTAATGGTATTATTATAACTCCGATGAGTCACAAGTCCACTTAACGGCGGGAAGAAAGAGGAGCTAAGGTAATACTCCTGGGCTCTTCAGTGGCCTCTGCTGTGGCTTACCGTCCTTCTCTCCGGGTCGAGCCCAGCCGAAAGTCAATTTGGTGCGGCTTTGTCGCAGCTTTCTTCCAGATTGCGCCATTACTGGACATTATGCGCGTTGTTCGGACAGGCAAGCTGGAAGAGAAGAGAAGGCAACAGATGATGCGCCGAGATTTCGTTCTCAAGCTAGCCGAGTCGGTCCCGCAGGCTTTCTTGCAGTCATACATTATGTTTGCTTCAGCAACACACGTGGAACCATTGAATTTGCTGTCTGTGACTACCTCTGTTACCAGTGTTTCTCTGTCTCTGGCGCTGCAGCTGCCGAAGATAGTTCTGCCAACCAATGCCGAAGCATCGGAAGCATTCAAAGCAGCATCGGAGGTGGCAGGTCATGCACAGACCTACGGTGTTCAAGAGGAGGAAGTACAAGTGAGCGCAGACGATCCGTACATGGGTCACGATGTCCCATCAGAACATCCAAAGGATCCGAAAGATGCTGGGAAAAGCCAGCAGGGCGGTGAGCTTTCAAGGGTGTCTCTCGTTCTGTCGCCTTTGAACGAGTTGGTGTCGTGCAAGGCCACTTTCATTGCATACTTGGCATCGGACTTGGTGTTGCGATGCGGGGCCTATGCAATGCTTTTGTCACCGTTTGCAAGACACCTTGGATTTGCCGGCATCCTTGGCTTCGCCGTTTGCCAGTCTGTAGCGGGATACCGGTCAGCTTGGCGATGGCTCTTGCGAGGAAAGCTGCTTCCATGCCTGAGAGGATGCATTGATGTGGACAAGAATGTGCCAGAAGTGCCCACAAGCATTCTGGGCCTCGCCTGTAGTCTCTCATTGTCGTTCGTGATTGGCTTTGCTCTTGCTTACTCGATAACCTTTGTAGGATCTTCACCTCTGCAATTTGGGTTCCTCCTTCTGGCCCTTCCGGCTTTAGTCCTGTCGGCAGTGCCCGTGGTTGTGACCTTCGAGCGGCCATGCCGAGACAAGGCATGCTTTATCGGCGTACGTCTTCTTGAATATCTAAGCTTTGGCAGCTTGAGTGCACGAATGAGGACGGTTTGTGCTGTAAGCTTTGGGTTGAGGGCGTTCACGATTGCGCCATATTGTGCTCGTGCCTGGGCTGGGCTGTAGATGTGGTTTCTCCATGTCTGTTCGTGTGATGTGAGTTTTCCATATCTGTACGTTTGCATGCCAGGATCGTGTAACTGTAAGCTGGGCAAGTTGGAACCGTCGATGTGTGGACTGTTCCCGCACGATGAACCAGTTCTTTTCACACTAAGCTTTGGTATCCTGACAGGACGTGGGGCGGCTCTAAAATCATTTTTGCATCCATCCAAGGCATCTTGCTGTCAGCGAATGGGCGGACATTCTGTGGAAAGCCACTTGGCCGGGAGCCCATCGCCTTCTTCGCGGTGCTGGGGCTCAATCTCGTGGCTTTGTTACTGCATCTCAGCTGCAAATTTCCATTCGTACCCCACAGCCGAACTGAAAATCAGTCGCAACTGCCAAGACTCTTCGAACGTTGATCTGCATTCAAGCCGAAACCCGAAGTCGACCCGGTGTTCAACAACATCAGACAAACACGTCAGCGACGGCAACAGCAACAGCACCAAAGAGCAACAGAGTGCAATAGAGAAGCAGCGCAACAGAACAAGCCAGCAACTCGCAACCCTTCAGCCCATCTACAATGCAACAGAGCAACAGAGCCACACAGCACCCAGCACGACGGCACCACAGCACAACAGCACCACCGCACGGCAGCAATGCAGCACAACAGCAGCACTGCACACAACACGGCACAACAGCAACTGCAACACAGTAACAGCCAACGAGACACAGCAGAAGCAACAGCAGCAGCAGCAGCAACAGCAACAGCAACAGCAACAGCAACAGCAACAGCTACAATAGCATCAACGCAAGAGCAAGGACACCGACGACTTCAAGATGCAACAATAGATGACAGCAGCAAGTCTTTTGTGAGGACCAAGCGTGGTGCCCCGACTTCACAAGGTCCTAGGTCCTAGGTATTCCTTCGTTAGGCTGCACTCCTGGATAATTACCTTTTCGGAACTGGAGTTTTACTACAAGCAGACGGATATTCTGAGGTGACAGGGAAAAGTGGTTCCCTTCATGTCTTGCCAGTCTTGTTTAGGACGGCAGGCTCGTGTCCGTAGCTGCAGTGAATTCGGAGAAAGCCTTTCATTCTCTTGATTGCACATGCATGGGAAAGGCGGGAAAGCGATTTCCCAATCACCAAGGTATGGCACAATTCACTACAGCCCAGCCTTCGCCTCGATGCACCTTGTCCCGCGATACTCGGGTTTACAGCCCCAGCGGCATCTACTGAAGTATTTAGACGACGTTATGAGTAGTATTGGTATTATTATTATTAGTAGTAGTAGTAGTAGTGGTAGTAGTAGTGGTAGAGGAGTAGTAGTAGTAGTAGTAGTAGTCGTCGTCGTCGTAGCAGCAGTAGGTGCAGTAGTAGTAGTAGTAGTAGTAGTAGTACTAGTAGTAGTACTAGTAGTAGTACTAGTAGTAGTAGTAGTAGTAGTAGCAGTAGTAGTAGTACGGTGGTAGTAGTAGTAGTAGTAGCAGTAGTAGTTAGTAGTAGTAATAGTAGT